TTAGTAATGTTAACGGGTGTTGTTGTTGTTTAGGTAACCTTTAGACACTTAGTAATGTTAACAGGTGTTGTTGTTGTTTAGGTAACCTTTAGACACTTAGTAATGTTAATAGGTGTTGTTGTTGTTTAGGTAATCTTTAGACACTTAGTAATGTTAATAGGTGGTGTTGTTGTTTAGGTAACCTTTAGACACTTAGTAATGTTAATAGGTGGTGTTGTTGTTTAAGTAACCTTTAGACACTTAGTAATGTTAACGGGTGTTGTTGTTGTTTAGGTAACCTTTAGACACTTAGTAATGTTAATGGGTGTTGTTGTTGTTTAGGTAACCTTTAGACACTCAGTAATGTTAGTAGGTGTTGTTGTTGTTTAGGTAACCCTTAGACACTTAGTAATGTTAATAGGCATTGTTGTTGTTTAGGTAACCTTTAGACACTTAGTAATGTTAACAGGTGTTGTTGCAGTTTAGATAATCATTAAACACTTATTAATGTTAACAGGTGTTGTGGTAATCTTTAGGCACATTGTTTTCAGTCAATGTTACCTTTAGGTAATCTAGGCATGTCATAATGTTTTTCGGTAAATCTTGCTGTTTAAGTAATCTTTTGGCACTTAGTGATGTTTTCAGCCAATGTTACCCTTTAGGTAACTAGGCACATCTTAATGTTTTTGATCGATGTTGCCCTTAGGTAATCTAGACATGTCATAATGTTTTTGGTAGACTTTGCTGTCTAGGTATTCTTTAGGCATGTGCTAATCTTTTCAGACAATGTTGCCATTTATGTAATCTTTAGGCACATCTTAATATTTTTAATTGATGTTGCCATTTAGGTAATCTCTAGACATGTAATATATTTTTACTCGATGTTGTTTAGGTAATGTTTAGACACTTAGTAATGTTTTCAGTCAGTGTTGTTGTTTAGGTAATGTTTAGATATCTAGTAGTGTTTTCAGTCAGTGTTGTTGTTTAGGTAATCTCTAGACACTTAGTAATGTTAGTGCTGTTGTTTAGGTAATCTCTAGACATGTAGTAATATATTTTTACTCAATGTTGTTCAGGTAATATTTAGACACTTAGTAATGTTAGTGTTGTTGATTATCGAGTAATATTTTTAGTCAATGTTGTTGTTTGGGTAATGTTTAGACATGTAGTAATATATTTTCAGTCAGTGTTGTTGTTTATTGAGTAATATTTTTAGTCAGTGTTTTTGTTTAGGAATTCTTTAGTTATGCATTTATTTTTTGTGTTAGCATCTGGGTATTTTTTGTTTTAATCTGAGTTAATTGCTTTTTTTTTAATTTAGTTAGAAGAAATACTGTTATTTGATTTGAAATGTGGTGATGTATTTTTTACAGTATTCGGTACAAAAAATAATAGGTAATGTATTAGTCCTATGGATAAAGAAGATAATGATTATTAAAATGACACTTTTTCTTTGGGAAAAATGTTTTTTGTTTTTGCCTCTATTGTTATCCTACATATGGAAATCTTTTTTGCAATAGGGCCCTTGGAAGCTCCCCAGAATTTCAAATTAAATTTTATAAAGAATGCACACTCAGCCATGTTTTCGTGGGACCCTGTTCCTCCTCAGTCCATTCGTGGTCATTTTAAAGGATACAAGGTAAAACTCCAGCTTTGGCTTTTTGGTTCCTTAATTTTACAATTTTTCATCCAGAACCTCTTCAAACTATTGTCTTGCTGTTTCACCTACAGCTACTCTTGAAGTATATGTTAGGGTTGTAGATATTGAAATCCAAGCAGAAATTAGTTGTTCTGTTTCAGTATTTATTGCATAATGTTTCAAGCTTGTTCCCAGTTTTAAAAATTATAATTAGTACATAACGCAATTGATGAAAAGAGATTCGATTTTGTTTTACTCGTTGTTCAGACATATAATGAGATGTACGACTTATTTTTCTGATGAAAAATATTTCTTACTTAACTATTTGTACAAATTGTTCTTTGACAACCACTTTTATGCCACTAAGTCGAGTCTGAAACACGTGTTCTTGAAGAAATGCCAGTTTCATTAAACTTCTTAAACTGTGGGTTCGTTAAGCTCCTTGAAATAATAAAAAGTTAGTTCTGTAAAAATCTTGAAATTTCAGTTTTGATGAAAAATCCCCTATAAGACAAACAAATAATAAACCAGTTTGGTTAAAAGAATTAATTTTGTTTATATTTTAAGTAGATCATTATTAATTTCATGAGTTACAAGACTCAAGACTGTTATAAGACCCAAGACTGTTACCAGACCCAAGACCATTACAAGACCCAATACACATTACAAGACCTAAGACCGGGATTAATTAGTGGGATTAACTGTAATATTGATGGTATTTTGTCTACATTTTTAGTGTGATGTAATATACACAGGAAACCCTGAAGTAATTACTGGGATTAATTGTAATATTGATGGTATTTTGTCAATATTTTTAGTGTGATGTAATATACACAGGAAACCCTAAAGTAATTACTGGGATTAATTGTAATATTGATGGTATTTTGTCTACATTTTTAGTGTGATGTAATATACATAGGAAACCCTAAAGTAATTACTGGGATTAATTGTAATATTGATGGGGTTTTGTGTACATTTTTAGTGCGACTGACTATGTTTTATAAACAACAAAGTCATAGACCAACAAGCAATTGGATTCACATGCTGCAACAAAATTACTATCAATAATGAAAGATAACATGTCATCAGTTGGGTTTTATTCACACACTGTACAACAAAATTACTATCAATAATGAAAGATAACGCGTCATCAATTGGGTTTTATTCACACACTGTGCAACGAAATTACTATCAATAATGAAAGATAACATGTCATCAGTTGGGTTTTATTCACACACTGTACAATAAAATTACTATCAATAATGAAAGATAACGCGTCATCAATTGGGTTTTATTCACACACTGTACAATAAAATTACTATCTATAATGAAAGATAACATGTCATCAGTTGGGTTTTATTCACACACTGTACAATAAAATTACTATCTCTAATGAAAGATATTCTGATTCAAAATGTAACTTCCTCTCACTTCTGGCTTTTCTTGATTCAATGCTGAACTTTTTTGCTTGCCACTAGCTTTGTTGCTCCCACCTAATCTTACATGTTTCCACATGATATTGTTACTTACAAATGAGACACACAATGTCAGGGTAGATCCATGTCTGCACTGAAATAATTGTTTGGAAGAGTAGGAGGGGAAGAGACTTTCTCAGAAACAGGAATTATAGAAGGAGAGAAGTCTATATCATGGCCTAAAAAAGGCCCAGACTGCATGCAAGACTCAAACACCTGCCACACAATAGCCATCACATCCCCTGAAGACAAAGAAGCACCTAACTCCAATGTGGTAGTCTGTCTAGAGTGAACAAAGTCCAGATGTTCAACACTAGACACCATAGAAATGACCATCTCTGTTTCATTCAAGTTGTGTAAAATAAGAGCCTACAAAGGCAGGATTGTTTGAAAATAAAAATAATTCCAGAACAGAGGTTTTTGTAGATACTTCAACCATTTTGATGTTGAGAAACCTCACAAAAGCAAAATAAAAAAAAGTCTTAACACACAAGAGCCAAACTGACAAGTCACGTCTCAACAGTCAGGATAGACGGAATCAGCTTCTTTATTGGTAGAAGATTGTTGCATGAAAGATGAGGAGCACACGAAGGATTCCAGAGAATGAAGAGATGGGAATGGGAACCCTGAGAGGAAGAAGTGCAAGCCAAATAACAACTGACCATGAATAGAACAAAAGAGGGGATTGGGATCTGAATGGGAATAAGGATGAAAACATACCCTCACCTTCACATGTTGCAGACAATTCAGGGAGTAAAGTGTGATCTATATAGAGAAGAATATCGGAGCAATGGAATAGAATGGGAGACGAATTAATGGCATATACATCAGAACATTGATTACCACAAGCAAGAAGAAGGAAGAAATAAGTTTTAAAGGATAAATGATGTAAAGAACAAGGCATGCAGCCAGTCAAGAAGGACAGTGTATACCAACACCAGAGTGAAGTTGAGACAAAAATAATTTTTTCAAGCATGGACTTGGACATCATGAAGAGGAGGAAAACATAATATTGTGAAGAAGGGAAAGTAAAGAATAATAAGATATAGGAGAGAGAGTGAAAAAATGTAACATACCTGAGGTGAAACATTATGGAAAGCTCCTCTTACTCTCACTGGATTGGTCTGGCAGCTTATCTGTTGGATGGATATGCATGTTAACATTTCCAGGTATTGTCTCATCAAATTTGTCACCTGACTCAATCCTTGGCTGCTCACTTCCATCCTCCATTGGAGAAGATAGCACTCATCCATGAGATGGGGTGTTCCACAAGACTGCTCGAAGTATCCTTATTGTGCTCAGTTTCCTAAAGAAGACCTGAACTTCATGGGTTAGCTTGAGCACAGCAGGCAGGGTATCCCTGCCTATCCTCCATGCTTAATTTAAAACCTAGTGCTGGCCTGCTTTTAAAAATGTGGTTTTTGTGGTCACCCATTGCACTCTCTTACGGTGATACACTTCTCTGGACACCTCGCTTTCTTTCTTTTCTTCTAGTAGAGCTTGGGAACTCTTGCCACACACCAGTCCCTCGCCACTGTGGTGGTGTACCATGAAAGATGCCTCCTGAGTGTGACCAATTCCACTCAGCAGAGAGTAGGGTGGTGATGTTCTGTCTGTGCAGTACAGCTCACCTTTGTGGGTGGATTTCCCCATCCTACCGCAACCTGGATGTCAGGTTCCTGCATGGTCTAGTGTTGGATTGAAACAGGACCAGTCCACATAAGTCCTCACTGAGTTGCAGGGCAGATGTTACTTCCCCGGTCTGCTTCACTGGGTTTGAGGTTTCTATCACAGCCCAGAAGCCAAATTCCCAGTGCCACCTGGTTTTGGACTGGATGTGTGTGATGTGCCCTAGCCACACTACACATATAGCACTACTGAAAGCCTGATGCTGGTTTGGAAAGTGTGCTTGTACCTTCTACCTGTCCTTGCGACACGTCCCTCCTGGATGAAGAATGCAACCTCATACAGATGAAATGTGGTCTCTCACGGATGTACCCTTATACTGTTCCAAGGTATAGGGTGTTGCTCTTCATAGGTTTTCTTTGGGTGCTTCCCAAAGGGTGCTCATCTAGGTAAAATTCTGTACTGGTTCCTCCATTACTTCAATGTGGGATAAATATTCACCTTCTCTCACACTTTCCATTCTTCCTCCCCACTTCCAATGCATCTTGCTTTCTTGCCTAATCTCAAAGAGATGATTGAAACAATATGTATGGGTGGAGAGTTATTGTATGCTCACTTGCATGCAACAATGCAAGAATATCACATGGGAACACATGAGATTAGATTGAATTGCCAAAGTGTGCAGCACTGAATTTGAAAGGCTAGATGTGAGAGGTGGTGAGTAATGTTAATGTTTGTGATCAGTTTGATTTGATCTACACAATTTACAAGAAAATTATTATCTATAAAGTAAGATAGCTTGTGATCAGTTAGGTTTGATTCACATACTTTGCAAGAAAATTACTATATACAATGAAAGTAAGCTTGTAATCGGTTTGGTTTGACTTATGCACTATGCAACAAAATTACTATATACAATGAAAGTAAGCTTGTAATCAGTTTGGTTTGACTTATGCACTATGCAACAAAATTACTATATACAATGAAAGTAAGCTTGTAATCAGTTTGGTTTGACTTATGCACTACGCAACAAAATTACTATGTATAATGAAAGATAGTTAGAAATGATCCACAGACTCTGAAACAAAATTAATATCTATAATGAAAAATGTTTTGTGATCAGTTGGGTTTCATTTTCTCTTAGGTTCAAACCTGGACACCAGAAGAAGGAGAAGACAGGTTAAGAGAGGTTACTGTTCCACCCAATGTAACCCAGACCTTAGTTACCATCTTTAAACCTTTCTCACGAAACATTGTACGAGTCTTGGCTTTCAACAGGATGTATTCTGGACCACCATCAAATGAAGTTGAATTTACTGCAACCAGAAGGAAGTAAGTACCTGTGTAATCAGAAGCAAAGTCATATGTTGGCATAGCGATAATGGTTGTAAATGCAAGATTTCTCAGTAAGTATACTATAGTAACTTTATGTGGGTTATCTTGGAATGTAAGATTTTTTAAAATGTTTATCTGCAGCAATTGTATGCTATCATGATAATGGTTGTGAAGGTAAAATATCTTAGTAAGTATACCAGAAGAAACTGTCTAAATGCCAGTATTAATTCATAACTTTGAATTTTTCAGCTCCTGGACCAGTAGCAAGTTTTGATGCTATTCCCATGGGCTCAAGTGCCCTGTATTTAATTTGGAAGCGCCCCGTGGATCAAAATGGCATCTTGACAGGATACAGAATTTACTACGAAGAAGGTATCTGATGAGTAATTTGTGCTTTTAATTCATTTGTATTATTGATGAAACTTTCATTTCTAAAGCTGTATAGGAATAAGGGAAGTTGTTGAGAAATTTAAAACCAACTTGTTAGTTTGCAGTCAACAGCTTCAATTTTCACACAGTGGAGGCCCCCCCTGGTTGCCTGGTATGAAAATGGATTTCATCTGTTTCCAACAAGACAACTATGTGAACATCTGCATGAAAGCTGATCTGATGTGTTATCAACCAGACAACTGAGGAACCTCTACTGTGTGAAAATGGATTTCATCTGTTACCAACAAGTCAACTATGTAAACATCTGCATGAAAGCTGATCTGATGTGTTATCAACCAGGCAACCAGGGGTGCCTCCACTGTGTGAAAGTTGATTTCATCTGTTACCAACAAGACAACTATGTGAACATCTGCATGAAAGCTGATCTGATGTGTTATCCACAGTAGAGGTTCCTCAGTTGTCTGGTTGATAACACATAAGATTATGTAGCTGTATAAAATGTAATGAAATTTACTTGTTAATAGTATTAATTTCTGGTTTTTGTTTACACGCTCCAGATTTATTACCTTAAAAATATCTGATTTTTTGTTCCATGCAGGAGAAAGTCAATAATGAATTGTAAATATTACTTTGTATTTTAGTTTTATTAAACTAACGAGGAATTGTGTCTTCTTTCAAATAACTACTGAACCTCCAACCATATGTTATGAAAAGTTTTACCTCTCCTTGAGTTAGAAATAAACTGGTGAGGTTTTAACACTTGGCAGGATCTAACGTAGCATCCAAAACTCTTTCTGAACGACGTATGTTGATCATAATTATGTTGGTATTTAGTTTTATTACAGGAATTCTCACATGTGATTTATGCTAGTGGCTAAATACAATTTCAGTTTAATGTTTATTCTCGTAATTTATTCTAGTCGATGGGACGAAATTGGGAACTAAAGTGGAGCGACCTCCAATTACTGACCCACGAGAAACCCGTGCTAAGCTGGCATCCTTGCAGCCAGATACTAAATATCGTATCACCATCAGGGCAACAACTAGTAAAGGACAGGGGGAGCCGTACTACATTGAAGCTAGCACTAGCGAAGAAGCCGAGAGTGGTAAGTTTGGATGGTAGATATACAGTGGGAGAAGGTAGTTAGATAGATGGGTTGTAATGCTGCATTAGTGATCATTAATATTTAAAGCAAAGGCTACTTTAATGTTTAGGTGAAAATAATTTCACATTTAACATGTAAAGATACAGCATCTACTGATGAAAAATGTACCACGTTTGTGCTTCTTGTAGTTATATAGATAGTTTTCTCTCTAGCTCCTGACATGCCTGAGTTCATCTGGTCTCGACTTCCTGATGAAGAAGGAAAGGCAGGTGTTGAAGTTACGTGGGTTCCTGCTGTTGAGGGTCATCCAGGCAGCCATTTTTATGTACAGTATAAACGAAAAGGTGAACACTTATAATACATTAGCAATAAATCATCGTTTAGGTAGTCTCTCAAAATGTGTATATAGTTGTTAAATCAGAGTAATGCTAGCTTTTGGAGCACAGGTTTTATCTTAGTTTACATTGAGATGGTAAAATGACTGATGGAGTAGGTAGATGAACTGTATTAAAATGTTTTCTAAAGTCCTAGTGTACACTTTAGATAAATGACCCATAGAAATTAACATTATACTACTGCATTAAGGAACATATTGTTTACTGACCCAGGAGGAGAGACATGTTAACCACCTCCATGAACCAACAGTAGGCTATCACATTAAGGAACAGATTTTTTACTGTCCCATGAGGATCACATGTTAACCTCCATCAACCAACAGTAGGCTACCACATTAAGGATCACATTGTTTACTGACCCATGAGGACAGACATGTTAACCACCAGCCTACTGTTGGTTCATGGAGTGATCCTTAATGTGGTAGGAACAGATTGTTTACTGACCCAGGAGGACAGACATGTTAACCTCCATGAACCAACAGTAATCTACCACATTAAGGATCACATTGTTTACTGACCCAGGAGGACAGACATGTTAACATTCTGTTCCTTAATGTGGTAGCCTACAGTTGGTTCATGGAGGTTAACATGTCTGTCCTCCTGGGTCAGTAAACAATCTGTTCCTTAATGTGGTAGCCTACAGTTGGTTCATGGAGGTTAACATGTCTGTCCTCCTGGGTCAGTAAACAATGGTTAACATGTCCCTGGGACAGTAAACAATGTGATCCTTAATATGGTAGCCTACTGTTGGTTCATGGAGGTTAATATGTCTGTCCTCCTGGGTCAGTAAACAATGTGATCCTTAATGTAGTAGCCTACTGTTGGTTCATGAATGTTAACATGTCTGTCCTCCTGGGTCAGTAAACAATCTGTTTCTTAATGTGGTAGCCTACTGTTGGTTCATAGAGGTTAACATGTCTGTTCTCTTGGGTTAGTAAACAATTTGTTCCTTAATGTGGTAGCCTACTGTTGGTTCATGAATGTTAACATGTCTGTCCTCCTGGGTCAGTAAACAATCTGTTCCTTAATGTGGTAGCCTACTGTTGGTTCATGGAGGTTAACATGTCTCTCCTCCTGGGTCAGTAAACAATGTGATCCTTAATGTGGTAGCCTACTGTTGGTTCATGGAGGTGGTTAACATGTCTGTCCTCTGGGTCAGTAAACAATCTGTTCCTTAATGTGGTAGAGCCTACTGTTGGTTCATGGAAGGAACAGATTGTTTACTGACCCAGGAGGACAGACATGTTAACCTCCATGAACCAACAGTAATCTACCACATTAAGGATCACATTGTTTACTGACCCAGGAGGACAGACATGTTAACATTCTACCACATTAAACTTTTTCTGATCGGATAGATCCTTTCTAGTGTCAAGCACTCACTTGCATATGAAATTTCAGAATCTAAGTCAAAATAATACTTCTAATTCTTTTTAAGACTTTTTAAACAGAAAATATTTAAGAATTTTTGTTTTGTCATTTTTTGTGAATGTTTTATGGGAAACGTTAAAAAAACTAGTAACAGATTGTTATACCAAAGGTAATGAGACGTATACACATACATCAGTAACTGTTACATTACCTGATACTTTGATTACCATAAAGACTACCACCTCGTTTGACAGATATAATTACTTGTTTGATTGGAATAATAGTGAAAGTAAAATTATGTGGTAAACTTGAAGCTTTATTTTCACATAGGAGAGAATCAGTGGGAAAGCACAGTAATGGAAGAAACACAAGACACGCTTGCAGTGAAAGGCTTAGAGAGAAGTACACTGTATGAGATGAGAGTAGTGGCTGTTGACGGACGGTTCCAGACTCCTAGCAAAGTAGAAGAGATCGAAACTGGAGGTTTAGGTACTGAAGATACTGTTGTATGTTACTAGAAGAAACTCAAGCATCATGATCCTTCTTTTTTAGATTACATATCCTAACTTATGTTACTAGAAGAAACTCAAGCATCATGATCCTTCTTTTTAGACTACATATCATAACTTATGTTACTAGAAGAAACTCAAGCATCATGATCCTTCTTTTTAGACTACATATTATAACTTATGTCACTAGAAGAAACTCAAGCATCATGATCCTTCTTTTTTAGACTACATATCATAACTTAT